TCAAAGGGTTTGAAAAACAAAAAAGCGGTAAGACGAAAAAAGGGAAAACAAGGCGTCATGGTCCATAGAAGCGAACCAATGGCAATGAGGAGATCGATTTCAGTGCGCAGAATCCGGGGCTTTAATAAAGTCATAACATTAAGAAAAGTGCAGGTAATTTGGAGATAACAAAGCACATAGCATTGACCCTGTTAAAACAATCTAACTGAGTGTAGATGTTATGAATTGTTACCAAGATCACGCAACTTCCTCTTTGGAAACTGTGTTCAACAAGATTTGGCCAAAAGTAGCCCAAAATGATCAGAACGATGCCCTACCTAGAACAGTAAGTTGACTATACTCAACGGTTATATAATGAATGTCAATGTTAATGGGAAACAGTTTGCAAGAGCTCGTGGAGGCCAAGTGAAAGTTGATTTATACGAGTTTCACAGGCTATGAGAACACCAAGCTGAGGCACAGAGCCTCGGATGATGTCCAAAGCAAATTCGTTGGTAACTAGCTAACATCAGAAAAATATTAGACTCGCTGTACAGGTCACGTGAAGTGTGTCCGAAAGAAGGTTAACGTGTTATACCGGAGAGAAGTGACACCTTACACGGAAAGTGTACACAGGACGGGCGAAGTACCGAGACCCATATAAAGGTCAGATTTAGCAGTACTCCGGGGGAACCGGGTACTTACGACACATTCAAATAAAGCGAACTTGGTCGCTTTAGAGGGCGTAAACTAAGTGAAAATCGGAATGAAACGCAACATTTGCGTGAATGGAAAGTGACAGAGCACTGACTATGACAATGACATGAAGGATAGCGAAAGATAACAACGAAGGGGCTGAAATCGAAACACAGAATCAGTGGAAAGAAAGAGATGCACAAGTTCAGCATCCTAATACATGAGGATAGCACAGCGAAAGTTTCGCTAGAGATTGATGTTGGGAGCATGACTGGGGGAAAAAGTGAAGGCGGAGAGCCGCCAATTCATCTTTAATAGTAAAAGACACTACTGTGATTCAAAACATTTGTGTTAGAGGAGACGAGACCGAACTCAGCCAACCGTTTAATTGAACAAGAGACATCACACACCGGAATATGCAGGACATTAAAGTTCGAGGTGGCACAGAAGCGCGCAAAAGTCATAACACCATGAGACCTGTAAATGTGGAGACAGAAGATTTTTCAGCAATCAAGTGAGAGTGGACACGAGCCGAGTTGCTAGCCCAAGGTAGGTATGTGACAGAGCGTTTAGAAGAGAAATGCTGGGTAATTAAACGGTATCCACAAAATAGCCCGTTTGAAAAGGGCATGCACAAATAAAACCAAATCCTAGGGACTTACAGGTAAGTTCCATACCAAATCTGGTTTGGCATGATCTTGTTCAAACTGGTAAAAGAAGTACTTCCAGTTGGTCCGCGGTGAAGTGTCGGCCGAGTCTGCAGGCCGTAACTTTTGTCGTTGATGCCGAGGAAGACGCAAAACTACCGGTCGATCCTCCAACTCCTGATTTATGTTCGGCTGTATAAGTCAAAACGACGACATAAAAGGGCTGAAGAGGGCAAATGTTCGTGATCCCTAACAAGGAGATCAATGTGGATGATGCAAGCGATGGCTAGTGCAATGATCGACACCAACGTATCGAGGTTGAATTCACGAAGGTCATCGTCTTCATACTCGTGGTAGGCGATAAAATCAAACGATTTACACTGCTTCGCCCAACTCGGAGAGCATAGTCAGCTTCAAACATATGTTTAAGTGTTATACACCTCACAAGCAATACGAATTGCGGTGAAGCACAATGATGATGCTTTAGCAACAGGAGCAGAAGCTTCACATCCTCTTGAATGATGTTACTAAGAGCCCTACCCATAAAATGTCATAACTGGTGACAACAGAAGTTCCAGGTAAAGAGATCAAGTGCATGTAAGATGAACATCAAACCAGCGGAAGAAGTTGCATCGTGATATAAAATCAAAGCTCAACGGTCTACGTTAGGAAGATCAGCTGAGTGCCGCCGATGTAGAGCCACTCGACCGTCTCGAACAGGTCCGGCTTGTCAAGCTGCATCGAGGTATCTTACCAAAGAGTGGAATATAAAGAATAGACGGCAGTAATGTTGACAAGCGTTTACTGAAAATGTGTACGAAGAAAAATGAGCCAATTTTTAGACCCAAGGAGGCACAAAATGAAATCGGAGGAAAGAGGTGAGTTAGTACTAAGTTTCAAAGTAGAGATTAAGCTATCCAATGCAAAGGGTGTAATCAAAGGATTGCTTTAGAGAACAGTACCAAAAACATAAAACACGCTCAAGAACAAGAGCAGATCCGGCAGCAGTGAGAAAACCATGAGAGTACAATGCGTTCGAGCAACAGAAAGGATAGTCTGAAGACTCAGAATAATATATGAATATAAAGGGTTACAAAGGGAATCGGAGAGGCCTAGATGTCCGGATGGAATCAGTCAAACATACCGTAAGCCGAAAGCGTGATCGAGGAACCACTGGTCTCAGATATGGGGATACATGCTTGCAAAGTTCGAGTGACACTTAAGCAATCGGTAAAATTCGACCACTGGTGACTCACCGCGGGTGGTTTTCGAGGTGGAGTACAGAAGGAGATTGCAAACGAGGCAATGCTTTCGAACCGCGGTATACCAAACTACCTAGGCTGACTACGATGCATGAGAACAAATAATTCATCCACGTTTCGGAAGTTCAAACACATCACAAAACAGAGAAAAAAGAAAGGGAACTCCCAAATTAGGATAATTTGCCGAGAAGAGAGAGAGGGAGGAAGAAATGGATAATCTCTGCGTATTTGCCGTTCCGCTCAGTAGTTGGCGTCGTTTAGGTACCGGTTTAGCTCACCTAAACCGAAAGACAGAACACCACTTAACCAATAGAATTGTTTCCGTGAAATTCATTCACCGTGTTCCAATTCCAGCAAAGCATTGCGACCTAGTGATTACAGGTAGTGCCACAAAAATATCATCCAACATTGTGCTAAAGGTGATTACTAGCGCTTCAGTGAGCAGAGCACTATTAACTTACTGACCTGAACGGGGTTGAAGTGAGCCAGTAGGGTGTGGTTAGCCCCGGATGTTAGAAAGCGGCCATCATTACGAACAAGACAAGCGCCGCGGAACATTATTGTTCCCCACACGTACACGGTATCCGCATTCGCGAGCAAACAAACAGGACTCGACTCTGGCGATGTGTATAAAGCAAACAACAAAGATATCGGATCTTGCAACACCACGTATTATTGTTGATGGAGGTTGGAAAGCAAATTGCAATTCAGTCGCTATGCATTTGGGTTTACTGGGCTAGCTCAGTTTCGGCATATCTGCTGAGCACAATAGCGTCAACATTCGGAGCCATTGGGTGAGTATGGCCGCCTGAGGTAGGAAGAACAGGACCATTGTGAGTAGGGTCAGCGTCACTTAGTGGACGATGAATCAGGACGCCACCAACTGGAAACACCACATGGAGTGCCAAACCAAACTGGCGTTACCTACTGACACGTATGACATGGACTGTTGATGTAGAAGTATTGGGTGCGGGCTGAGGCCAATGATGTCAGAGAAATCTGGTGAGCAGTTAACGCAGCGGTAAAGCCGGACGCGGAATCCAGTTAGTTAGAGTCAAAAGGTACGCCAACGAGAAAGAAACCTTGCGGCTTATCAATTTGAGAAAAGATATTGCCCTCAGACGCTCACCCTTGTGCCCTGCTTTGGTAGTGAAAAGGTGAGACAAGTGGAGTCCTAGTTGTAGTGGATGCTACCAGGACTTCGACTCAACAGTTTGACCAGTAAAATAAGGATACTACGGCAGACTCTCGTGCGGATCTGCTTGGAAATAGCACTACGAAGTCCTGAGAATTTAGGAGTAAATCGTTCGATCGTTCTCCGAACTGAGTGCTATGACTGCACATGTTTCGTCATCAAGCTAGGCAACATAATCAGTGCAGCTGCCGGATGTGCAAAAGACCGCGAACCCCCCCCCTGGCACCAGTACAGGGTATCTGCAGTACGCCGATACAGCGTACCGACGCTTCGCTAAGGGGCAAGTAAAACCAGTCGCGCGCGGTCTAGGGATATAGCGAGGTTGCCTGCACCTTTGGGTTACAAGGCGAACGCTGAATATCTTCGACCACCGGCTGACAGTGGCAGCCCAATCTGACTGACTGTTGGGAATGCAAAGCGTTGCAACAATTAGATAAGTAAATAGGTAGGTAGATGGGTACATTCCCAGACGGGCGGGAGAAGTTTCTAACTATGGAACGATCATTTGTATAACGAGTTTCATTAACATTTGATGTATGGACTTGTGTTCAGTATGGATCAGTGATGCAATGTTTCGCAGAACATGTAATAAACAACAGATTAGTGGTAAGCTAATTTTGTTATAGGTTAACTTCAGGTTAGCTGAAATCGATTAACTGACGCTTTTCCCAAGCTTGCCGTCAGTACCGCAAGTGCGGGACTACTGTCACCGCAGTGCCTGTGGTTAAGCAAGCCCACGGGATGGCATGATCGATAACTCGGTGAAAAGGTTTAGAAAGTAAGCACACGCAGCTATAGGGTCAGTGGTGTCCTTAGATTCCTTTTGTCTCCTAATCGTTGGGTTCATCATCATCACCATTAACAACAGTAGTACATCAGCCACTTTAACTGATGCTTCGTTGCCATACAACCATGAGGACGTATGGAATAAAGAATAATAAACCGGAGATAAAGGCTTACCTGAAAACCTTAATGCTCGAAGAAAACATTCAGGATCAAGGCGCCTACACCTTGTGTTAACAGCATATCGCCACAAACAGCTGGCCATCATGCAAAGATAAGGCAGCATCGGTCAGACAGCTTCCTTGCGGCTTTCATTGTCCCGCTTCAAAATCACCCAGTAGGCAGCAGATAACTCAGCACAAAATATACTTTAAACAGGCAACCCGACTAGGATATAGCAGCAGACACGCCACTGGTGTCGGTTGCGAGCCATGTCCTGTAAAGTCCCGAGCCAAGCACAAGGCGAGTCACGTGGACTCCAGCCCGGAAGGCGAGACGGACCAACGGCACCCAGTTTGGTCGTCAGTGACTTCATTTCCCGTTACCAAGTCAACTTCTGTCCACCTCGAGCCTTGCGCCATCCTACACCTGGTAGACTGAACAAGGCCCGCATAGGTAAGCGGTGACCAGGCATGCGTAGCACGTGCCCGAGCCAACGCAACTTATTCAGTGCTATCTATTGTTCTAGGGAGCTAGCATGATTATCACCACCTAGTACTCGCCTACGCACATCATCGTTGCGGACACGCTGGTGCCATCCAACGTCAGCAATGCTTGGCAGACTTAAAGGCGCCTCAGATCTTCGGACCGAAGGGGCCAAGTCTCACTACCATAGAGCAGGAAGGCCCTCACTGCGGCCTTGTATACACGGCCTTTCAGAAGGAGGGAAACTCCCTTCTGTCGCCCAAGAGCACGTAGGATGTTCATATATTTCGTAGGAACACCTTTCCGCGCAAGTATTTCGAACAGAATGCATCGATCGACTGAATCGAACGCATTATTGAAATCAAGGAATACAGCTATTGTCGGTCTGCGGTATGCGTGACGCTGCTCTAGCACCTGTTGCAAAGTGAATATATGGTCTATACAGCCAAGTCCTGGGCGGAAACCGGCCTGCTCCTCTCTAATCCGAGATTTCCGTTCCGCAGTGAGGCGACGAACAAGAATCGAGGTTAGTACTTTTGTCACAACTGGCGGTAGGCTAATACCCCTATGGTTAGAACAGTCTGGGTGACTGCCCTTCTTGTATATTGCCACTATAATCGATTCGCTCCAATTAGCCGGCACACTCCCTTCCAGATACGTTCGAATAGGGAGGTCAGTGCTTTGCAGAGGACCTCACCTCCATCCTTAAATAGTGCAGGTGGGAGGGAATCCAGGCCAGCGGCACGAAAACGATTAAGGGCTGTGATCGCGTTTCGGACCTCGGCCTCCGACGGAGGCTCTAACCTAACCGTCCATGGCTCGTCCTGCATCACCTGAGTAGGAAGAGGTCCAGGAGCAGGGGACCAGCTGAACTGATCTTCAAAGTGTTCAGCCCAACGAGCCATACGGCGCTCCTTATCGTGTATCAGCGCACCCGCGCTGTCCCTGATTGTCTCACTGACGCCTGGTTTTCTCGGACCAGTGGTGCGTATTAGCTGGAAGAGCTTGCGGTAATTGCCTACTGCTCTTGCCTCCTCCATTTCTTGAGCCCGAGTGGTCCACAAGGCTTCCTTGTCAGCACGTAGGTTCCGCTTTAGTTCTCGCCTAATAGCCCGTCTGGTCATATTGTGCACAGACCCAGCCGTTAGGGTTCTTCTAGATTCAAACAGGTTCACCGACCACTCGGATATCCAGTGACTGGTGCGATGATAAGTGATAGTGCCACAAGCAGATGCTCCTGCGTTGTGCATGGCGGCCGAGATTCTATTCCACTGAAGCTCAGTGTCATTAGAACAAGACAGCGAAAGTTCGGTACGCAGTGCGTCTTGATAGGCTTGCCTGACCGACGGCTGAGACAATTTGTCAGTTGCCAATCGGAGGGGAGGCTTGGCAAGCCTCCAGGTAAAGTTCATCGAGAAACGACAGCGTACCAAGGCATGACCAGAGTCGACGCAGGCATTCCAGTACGAGAAGTAATCCAGGATGAAACCAGGCCACCTGTAACTTATGGCTATGTGGTCAATTTGGGTCCATCGCTGGACAGCTACAGATGGACGCCAAGTGGCAATTCGGCGCCCACTGTGTCTAAAAGCAGTGCTAGTAAGAAACAACTGTTACTCCGCACACAGTTGTAGCAGACGCTCGCCGCTGTCAGTCCGTTCGGAGATAAGCCCATACTTACCATCCAGCTGAGCTTCTGAAGAGCTCAGACGCCCTACTTGTGCGTTCATATCCCCTGCAAGTACTATTATATTTGAACTAATAGCACTGCGTAGCACTGCGTTCAGTTCGTGATAGTGTGTCTCTGACAGCATTTGAACTGCAGTCGGTTGGGGGATAAGCGGAAATCACAAACAAATAACGTTTTGTACAACTTCGTGAATCAACCTTAGCTGATGTCGTCAAACGGGTTGCACATAAATGGCTGTTCACCGGAATCCAATCGACCAATGATGGCTCAGCCTTGGAGCTGAAATGATACTTACACTAGCTTGACCCGTGAGTGCTGCATCGGAGTCTCCGGATGCGTGCAGCCAATAACGAGAGGACAAGCCGCGTGTAGTTAATTCAACAACCCCATTAGGGTCACTGATCCTAGTTTCGGACACACAACACACATCAATACACAGTGTGTCCAAGGTGCGTGCGAGTGCAGCCTGCTGACCTGTTTGTCTTAGAGTGCGGACGTTGAACGTCGCCATGGAAACGGGACAGCGTGGCCTTATAGGGAACTTTTGCCGATAGGCGTCCGATAGGTGCTGTGGGGTGGTGGCTGCAGACGGTACTACTCCAGTAGCACTTCGGTTGCTGTCAATTAAGCTGGGAATTATAGAAGGTAGGTTAGTAATAGGGGCCGGGATGGGAGTAAGAGAAAAAGGTGGAAAAGAAAGAAGGGAGGCGCCAGCAGTAGCATGCTTTCGCTTATCCGCCCTGCTGTATGCAGCAGATAAGGCGACCCTTGATAATCTGCGCGATGTCCGATGCAAAATGAAGTTCGTGTTTAAAGAAAAAGACATGGTTGTATATGTGCTGAGATACTGCCAGGATGCCCAGACCTAGACAGGAGAACGATTAGGGTCCTCATCCAAAGCCTTTGGCTCAAAGGGCTGTGCGTAAGGTAGCGGGGAGGAGGCAATGATTTAGTTTTACAGAAATGGACGCCATCCCATTTCAAATCCCCAACCTGGAGGACCAGGAGACTGAGTTTGTCTGACCTCTCACCATTGACCAACCTGGTAGGAGTAGCTCTCAAGGTGCCCGGAGACATCACCCAATATAGCTCAATGGGTCAATGAGGTATGCAAACCGTCACGGCACGTTAAGGTCCAGTCTGGTTGCGACGGCGCAAGTGGGGTTAAAAAGAAAAGTAAGGAAGGTATCAACAGTAAGCAGCTGTACGCGCAGTACCGACGCTTCACTGCCGCGGAACCACCACCCGTCGCACGTGCACTAAGGATACTGCGAAGGTTGCCCTACGCCTACAATACAGGCTCGAGGCCGCGCCCACACTTTACAAGACAAGTTTGTTAACTTTAACCTACGGGTCAGCGGTGGGATTTTACAACACTTCGATGATGGCCATCGGGGATGAAAGAAGACTAAATGAATGGACGAACTGCGGATGAAATTTCTACTATAGGAGTGTAGAGCAATCGCAAAACAAACGTGGTCCCCATAGCATAGAGCTTGCAACGTATTGCCCAAGAAAGTGAAGAAATCATGACAGAAACAACAAAAAAGAAGCACATTCGGTAACCAACTCTGATGTTACTATCCCGCGGAATGAGGGGCTAAGCACAGTACGGTTACGGATAAGACAGTAACCAACTGTTTCAGGAGGGACGTTATGGAAGGTGGACATACTTTCGGAGGTGGAAGGCCGACGCGCAGTCGCCAATGCGTGAGAAGATTTTCGATACGAGTCTCCATCTGATATCGGATCGTTTGTTTCCTCTCCTCAACTCGAGACATGTGATCCTGTGAAAGGTAGCGGGGAGTACCACAAGTTAAAAAAACGCTTATGGGAAATGGCACAAAAGACAAATGCTACACAGCAGTAACATGAATAAGCACCAACCTGCGCCAGTTTTAAGTTGTCTCGGTTGGGCAAATGGTTAGCCAATACAACTGGAGGAGAAGCATCACTCTCCAAAAAGGCCAACAATCCAAGAGGCTGAAATGTGGGGAGTGTAGGCAACAATGAAGTGTAAAAATGGACAAGGCAAAAGAGAGGTGCGTGGGAAAAGGGATGGTACGTTATGCGCAGTAATAATAAAAGAACTGTGCGTAGCTAGGTGATGATCGCATGCCAGCCCACCGAGTCCCACGACGTGCGTTGTTTGCTAGCCGGGGATGCGGATGAAAGAAGAGGAGGGGTGGCCAAGTGAGGAATTGGTCAAGAGGAATGAAAGCCCTTACTTCGATGTTAGCCTCAGTTAAAGCCTCTCGGTTCCCTGGTTGGGGTCCGAAAGATGATGAACACGTTCGGTTGGACACACTTGTTGTTATGGTTAGGAGTAGAACACAATGGCGTTTGTGTAGTGAGTTTCTTTGTCCCTCCCCCTCCAGCTTAGCTTCCCCTCAAACGATGATCTCATTTATTAGGCATAATATAACTCTTTTCTTTTGCGGAACAATAGTCGGCTGTTAGCACTCCGGAACGATGTCCATACGTTATCGGTGACTCAGCCGACGTGTCTCTGTTGCATGTTTTCTGTGCTTTTGTAGTGCGGCACAATAGCTGAGGTGTTTTTGACCTATGACGCGTAAAATAATGATGATGATGATGATGATCGCACGGTTAATACATAGCGTGGTAAGGGGGGGGGGAATTGTTCAGAAGTATTTCCTTACTGTCGAACTCGGACAAGACTGTCAACACATTATCCAGCTTCCACGTTCAATGAACGGTGAAACACAAATGGCCAAATTTCATTCATCATAGAAATGACAACACAGAGAACGGTCACACTGAAACAGAGACCGCACAGTGGTCAGATGCAAATGGGGAGACCGAGAAAGTTACAGTGTAGAGATAAGAGTCAAACATCGTAGAGGATGTTCAGAGTCTAGTAGGTGAAAGCAGATACAGTTTTTAAAAGAAAACGATAAGTTATCAGCCGCAAAGGAAACCATTAAAGACCGATGAATGATGCACCATAGTGGGTGCAGATTTTTCCCGGTAACAAGACTGATCAATAAGTTGGAGCATACTTAGCGGCACTGAACACGTCTTGACATGTGACTGAAACTACGCTCGTATTGCCTGTGGTCGGAGGAGAGGAAACTATTAAGGGTTAAGCAGTATCTCCACCACAGTCCACCGAGTCAACACTAAATTTGAAGACCTCATTACGCAGTGGAGTTCGGTGTACTTGGATACGTAGACAATTTGCAAGAGATCAGTGCAATACACGAATAGAGTTTCTGGTTGGTTTGATGCTATCCGACACATGTCAGCCCTCTGCGGAAGAGAGGGAGGCAGATTAATAATAAAGTGCGAGGTGTGGTAACACAAACCGAGTCAGAATATCGTTTTGGTGTTTTTAACTACGTGCCCCGATTGGCTAATTGTAAACTGGAAATGAACGCAATTCTGTTGTCCCAAACGAAAAAGTTATTTCCACCTTTACCCTATCCTCGTCTCAGAACGAGTAGAAAGCTATGATGGAAACGAGCAGCAGTGGTTCTACCCTGGCAAAGTTAACAGTTTCCGTTTTGCTTCTATCTAGCGCGGTTTCAGTCATGATTGTGATACCTCAGAAAAATGGCTGATTCAAAACTTGCAACAATAACGCCAGTGGCAAAAAAACGCCGTTTGAGTAAGATAGAAAAACTTACAAACATACGCTTAAGCAGATCTTGAGCCTCCGGGCTTCGTTCGGTCCACAATGCGACCAACTGGCGACTCAGCTGCCTGACAAAAATGACGAGATGATTGAAATATTGTTACTGCAGACTAAACGTACACAGTCACAACAAACTTAGAAGTCTGTGTGGACACCGAAAGCATACAATGAAGGGCAAGGACGACAGCGCACAAGATAATACGTGCAGTTGCGATTTTCATAAAAAATTAACTGCATGTGCTCAGTTTAGGCAAGACGCACGTTACGGTAAGCAAAGTCATTCTGTGATGAAACGACCATGAATGATCAGAATATGGGGAAAGTTCATAAGTAACAACAGATCTATGTGCGTACTGTGTTACATGATTATACAGAAGATCCCGCTGCATTTATGACTGTGTCAGATTAGGTTACCGGTGTAAGAAGATATCAAAGAGAGGTATCAGGGTAGATGACTGAAGTCTGTGAAGTGGATGTGATCACCTGAATAAGCAAGAGGTACGGAGTTTAATAAGTGGTGAGTCATATCCAACACATAGCATAAGCAGTACGCGGATACGCAGTACCAACGCTTCGCTGCCGCGCAACCACCACCAGCTGCAGGTGAGCTAAGGATACTGCATGTGTAGTCCGGTTCCTACGCGGGCTCGAACCCACGCCCTCGGATTAAAGACAGGCTCGTGATCCTTAAGGCTACGGGCTGGCAGCCGCCACGTCATGGTTTTGTTGGGTATTTGTGGCTATTTATAAGGGAACAATTGATAGGCGAAAGTCCACCTCGTTTAGGAACCCTACCGCCGAAATATTTGCTGGAACCGCACAAACCCGAACCACCAATCTGGCTCTACGGGGAGGCTGTTCGGCGAGCCAGGCTAGGAAAAGTTTGGAGTAAGTCATACCTTTCATGCTTTAATCAGGAAAAATAAAGAGGAGATAAGACAAGAAATTCTGTTTCGCGATAACCTGGCGATAATATGGCGAATCTCACGATGAAACCAGTTATCTCCAACAAGACCATCATAAAAGATGTGGCTAGAAGGGGTGGTTCAAGTAAGCCGATTTGATAAACAATACTATTCATGCTAATCGGGTACCAAATACATTGTTCGATTCAATTTGTGTTCATCCAAAGAACCTTTGTAAACTGACGGAAAACACGACGGCTGCACCGAGTAGGTCGACAAACAGTGATGCCTCAGTAATCCCGAGCCTCGGTCACCAAGTCAACTCAGATGCATCACTCACGGTTTTTAGTAGAATCAAGCTCATATGTAAATCGTCCCAGTCACCTCAAAGCCAAGCCGGACGTCTAGAAAAGCACCAGACGGTCGCGTCGACCTTCTGGGTCTCGTCAGCAGTGCGCGTTCCTCGGACCCCTGCCGGGTTCCGGACCCTATGATCCCTGGATGCCAGTGACTTGTGCCAATAAGACAAGGGTCACCAAACTACGACGCGCGACGTCAGTTTACCCGGCCCGCGCACTGTACCACAATCTGCCTGGTAAATCGTAGGGGAAATGAGGCGTTCTTGAGGAGGTGTAAGTTTCCTGTCACTCAGAGGTTCTCAGCGACACCCGGTTATCCAGGGTCAGTAAGTATTTGGTTCGAAAAGATCGGCGCCTGCCAAATGCGTTTGCTTTTTAATAAATCTGATAATTGTGTACGAGTGCAGTTTAATATTGCGAAGCTGCCTGCTCGAGTAACCTTCTTCATGGTGCATTACTAAGTTAACTTACGCAATCTGTCCACGTGCTTAAAGTATGCATTCAGAAAACCTTACTCAATCTGACAAACAAGTGTTGCGTTTGCACTAATACTCTTCAAATTTACCATACATATGCTATTTTGTTAATAGACAGAAGTTTTAGGTCTCTATTTGAGGAAATTATTGTTTGAAAAGTCGGTCTCAATACCAATTTGACGCATTTAAGGCATTCTACACAGACTACAACAGAAAAGTTACGACATTCAATATATTGTGGCCAAAACAATTTTGAGAACAACAAAAACTACTAATAATGAAACAAAGGTTTCTGAGGCACATCTATGTTATTTAGATGACAATTTCACTATGCTACAGAGTTGTGTTTTCAAGGTAATTTAGAACCGTTTCACATCAAACCTTATGTGATGTTTTATATTACCAAAATTAACTATGAAATTTACATGTGCCTTTGGTCAGCAGTGGTTACATCAATGACCCCTAATCCTCTGTGTTTCCGGAGTTTCAGTAGGACTTTAAATTTCCTTGTAATTTAAGAATAGGGGACAATGATTATCGCATTCCCTAATTTAACCAGTTCCCCCGGCCAGTGATAGTTATTATTCGAAGTTATCTGGCCAACCAAGATAAATATTTGATGACCCATGCACTAAGCCACATATGACGGTCGCAGACGCATGATTACGGTTGTTGCCAACGCTCGAGAGCGGGAGGCCCCTACATTCAAAAACAGCTGACAGTGGCAGTAGTGGCGGCGCGAACGTCGTTGACTTAGACCTTAATCGGTGATGTCACGTGACATCGCTTCTCATGAGTGTGTTATTGACTGGGTGCATGCGAATGACAAGAATGCACGATTTCATAGCTCAAAACACATGTGCAGGTTGTTCTGCAGACAACAACTGTAGGCTACAGTTCACACCGTGTTAGAGCACGCCTGCACCTCAGGCGACAAGGTGGGAAACAATATGCGCGGAAACAGCCGTCAAGCAAATTGTAGCCTCGGGAAGTAGCGGCTCCGTCACAACATGTGCACACAGCGAATGTTCTACGCTTGCGTCACTAATGGATCAACGGACTTATTGTGGTGCATCATTAATATCATATATAGAGGCAAGAAAAAAACTCACTTTACAGCCAGGCTCCGCGCATCCTTGCCTTGGGCAAAGCAAGCAACAGACAAGTGATGAAAAAGAGCGCCCTCAGATAGAGCCAGACTTCGCATTTCGCTGGCCACCTCATCCCCACCTTCTTCGATTAATGCGCGCATCACTAAACCAGCACCGCGGACAATAGCCAAGCTGGGGTGCTGTGTGCATGAGAAATGGGAGGAAAACGCGGAGAACAGTAAACAATATCAGCATCCGAAGTGAAGGCGCAAAAAAGCATTTCTCACTGACGATTTGTTGCCGTGGCGTCATGGAACAAGGATGTGTGCTGCAGACACACAAGAATGGGAATGATGAATATGCTAGAGATAGAATAATGCATGGGTCATAGTTTAAACGTTTTGGAAGAAAAAGAGCAAGAATTAGCAGGTCGTAAGGTCAAACAGGCATTTTCAGCGCCAATGTGAAAGAGCCATAAAACCTGATCGAGTAGTGACGAAAAGACAAAAACAAGCATTTGGCGAGGGGGGTCTTGATCATGTAGCTACTAAGCTAGATAAAAGTGTACCTCAATGGTGATGAGAATGGTCATAATCAATGTGTTGTACAAAGTGTTTTCAAAAAGAGATGGTGATCGCTCACGGCGTGAAGGCGAATTTGGGATAAAGTTCGTAAGAAACGCATAACGGCAGTCGTAGCAAAAGGACAGAAAGTCGCTCAAATCTTGAAAGAAGCTGTCATTCCGGTAGACCGCCATGAAGATGAGTAGGCGCTTATCAGGAACATACATACGATATGCAACAGTAGACTATGTGTGCGTATGCGTGTAAGGATACGAGAAAGGGATAAATGTAATAAAAGCATGGACCAATAATGTATACTCTGTAAAGCCACAAGAGGAAGATGAAAAAGTGGCAAGTATGGTAGCAACCACACAAGGGGTTGCCACATTGGTAAACACGAGGGGATGAGCAATATTCCCAGAGCCAGTGAGCCAAACGTAAGCCGAGACCAGGTGGTCTCTCGGCAATATCAAAAGTAGAATAAGTATGTATACGATCGTGTGAAGATTACTGCAGTTCTATTTTAAAACTGCACAAATATGGTATTAGTGCCTATGAAGACTGAAAAATATCTTTCACCAAGAAACAAGTTCAAACCTAGTATACTTCATCTCTTGAAAAACGTGCGCGCAACTACATCTGGAAGCGAAATGACAGTAAGTACTAGTCAGCCGTTCAGTCGTTGAGCGATATGTCGAGTTGGGCAATTGGTTTGTAAACGTCTGATCGACACTTCAGGTAAATTTCAATCATGCAGAAGTGTTGACGGATTGATTGCAGATGTACGTAGAGGTCGGAGGTATTTACTTAGACTTCCGGCGACACCGACTGCTTCATCGTGATTAGTTGCTTCCTGGTTTACACAACACTGGTATTGTTGTAATGCGAGTGAGTGAGGTGTAATCGGACCGGCCGGGTTAACACGGACGGTACTGCCCGTCATCCGGCTACAGAATGATTTTGTTTCGAATTACAGTCTTCTATTCACTTGAGGTCTTTCCGTTAAAACGACTGATACATAAAATCGATGTCCAAGATCAAATTCGATATAGAAAAGCGTGCTTCGACTAACACTCCAATTTATGCTTATCCTTGAATCAGAGTCGATGTCAAGTTCTAGCCGAAGCTCCATCCTTCTACAAGCACTGAAGGTGACATAACGCCTATCGCGTCACATAAGAGCTTTGTAGTCAATAGCGATTACTCAAGAAGCGGTGTGTGAAGCAATGAATAACCGAAGGTTACACAACCACCAGGCTTACTGCACCGATTCACCACTTCTAGTGGTTGTTCGTTAACAGGCAGAACCGGAGCTGGGCGGCCCAATCCTGGAGCAATACGAAGACGCTAGCCACATGCGGAAGGATGCACAGCGCTACATGTCAGCCAAAACGATAGCGAATGCATAGTCCATGTGTGTGATCCGAGGAGAGCTATAACATCCGTTTGGTAGAAGTTTTGCGTTGGAACAGCTCTACAAGGTAGAGTCACTTGTGATCGTTTCGATCACAAGAGTTAGGGAATAAAAATACCAAAGCATACATGCAAGAATGAGTGTACTCTCTCAGAAGATAGTTGAAGAAACCAATAGGTAGGGAAATGCACTACAATTGAACGAGTCGAAAGGTAGAAATCAAGAAACGACCAAAACTATTCACTTGGAAGATACCCGTCAAAGTCAATGGCCCAACTGGGAAAGAGGCCCGAAAAAGCACACGTTACACTTGCACAAAAAGTCACTACAGTATAGTGCTGTAGTTGGGATAAAATAATTGAACGCAGACGCAAGCTTACATGGAACAGTCGAAATAAAGCACGTCCTCGGTTCGCCACCAGACGCAAGAGGCAATCGAAGGAACCTCCATCCGAAGTCTCCGAGTACGGCAAGCAGATGGCGAATGTGAAGAAGTCCAGAAGCGCACACAGAACTAGTGCACCAGTCCCACGAAGCTAGTGAAGTCAGATAAGAAGGAATCCGGGGATAACACAGTATAAGACCGGCAGCAACAAAGCCAGAGAAAAGGGGAGAACTCACTGAATGAAGAGTAAAAATGTCCACCAGTCGAGACATGAATGCCTCGCTTGACATGATGGAGGTTTTGTTGAGTTGCTCTTGCCGAATGTCCGGTGCCTCGTGCATCGGATGCATCAATGTGTTAATCGCATCGAGGACCGCATGTGCGACAGCATCATCTCGTCGGCGTAGCGCGCTGACCACGATGCGTCCGAGTGTGACACGCATGCTATGAAGATTAAATAGAAGAGAAGAGCCCTATCGTAGAAATGAGTTGATTGTGCAAGATGACTTAACAGTGATGACAGTGCTAGATTTAATTTCATTGAAGAGAATCCGCCTTGAGGTACTCGTAGTTGGGTCAAGAGTAAGGTATCCGCAGTAAGCCGGCAAACCGTATTGACGCTTCGCTGCCAAGTGACCACTACCAGTCGCGGGCGGCTTGAGTATACCGCGAGGTCGCCCTCACTGTGATAGTTTTCACGGTAGCAAAACACATAGTGATGGAGTGCACGCATTACAGTAAACGACTGCGGTATATGAAGTCATGATAAGAGATCTTGTAGCTTTGTTGATAATAAGTAGTGCTGAATGGTAATAAATAATGTGGAAGGAAAGACTGGATGGCTACGATAGCAGTAAATACAAAGATAATGATGAAAAGGAAGCCGATATACATCCGGTACTCACCCCGGAAGTTGAGTGAACGCGTTAAAACCGGTTTTGGAGGCAACCAAGCGACGTAAAGCGTGGAACTGTGCCTCCAACAAGATCAATTGAGTATGCGAATCGCTGTTCAATGTGTTGGGTTTTTTGTTCATTGGTTTGGAACCCACACCCGGCAACGAATCAGCCAGAGTGGCGTCTAAGCCAGGTGGTGGTTGCGTTAAAATGGCTGATAAGGCATCTCTGATGAGGCGCTCCTTGTTCTCAACAAACATGCCCTAAAATTGGAGCAAGTGTATGGAGTGGCAGTTCACGAGGAACGAGGAAAAGCCTAAAAGGGATCCTGCAACAAGGATAAAGTGGGAGTCACGCTACACCGACGAGTTAGATGCATCACATTCCAAGTGTGAGGGAAAAGACGTTACGCTGGCACAAAGTTGGGTGCTTACTGGGAGTAGTATCGCGGCTAAAAGAGTACTGAATACGTGCGTTATTAAACCACTTGCGCGACACTACGTAAACCAGAGTTTATGCCTACAAAGTAATGAGATTGTACTAAATGATCAACCCACACAAACCAAAAAAGGTGAAGGGGAAATGATGACAGAAATTCTGCAAAGTACCTAATGTCCGCATAATGCTGCCAATAAGAAAGGGGGTGATGTGCGCAGATGTTATAAAAATGAAAACCAGAAAGGTACTCCTGAAGGGGAGGATACGTATACAAGACACACGCCTGAAGAAGTGGCAAAGCAGTGCACTGATTTCAAGTAGAAAGTTATCCTAAAATGTCGGAGGCGGAATGCGCGACTAGGAGTAAGAAAACAAGGCAGCAGTATTTCAAATTAGCTAATCCGTAAAACTGCATGTCAGCATATCTGTCGCTGTATGTTGCAAGAACTCAACGAGGATAGTCGAGTAAGCTAACAAAATATGTGCCAAGTGATAAAAAGAGGCGAAAAGAAAAACCGTGCGAGTGAACTCAGTTGTTTTCAGGTCAAGCAAACTATGGACATAGTCAATGTGTGACAGTGACCGTGATAGAGCAATGCTGGACAATGTAACAAAGTGACGAGATATGCTACCACGACAAGCCAATCAGAACAACGATAAGCACCTACTTGATTAATTCACAGTCTGAACAATGTCATGCCTTTGAGCAACTTAGAGGGGTCAGGAACGACCGCTGCTGATCCTGAGGATGCGAATCTGTATACCACCGAGCGCGTCTCCAGACTGCGAATAGGAGGGTGACAGCCATCGATGGTTAGCAGAAAGGTATCAGCAGTACGCCGGTACGCAGTACCGACGTTTCGCTGCGGCACAACCACCACCAGTAGCACACGGGCTAAGGATACTGTGAAGGTCGCCCTGTCCCAACGCAGACTCTAACCCGCGCCGTCGGATTATAAGGCACGCTTGTGATCCTTAAGGCTACGGGTAGGCGTGGCTAGCTAAGAGGCAAGCAATTCTCGGCCTATCGAATAATCAACCGCGAGCGAGCAGCAGGAGTGCCCGATGAAGTGGCTTGAAGTTTCCCTATAGTAAGTCACAGTAGGTAAGGTGTCTTGGCGGCGGTAACTAGCCTCCCACTAAGTACCACTAAATCGTGTGTGCTAGGCCCTTGGTCTTTTACGAACCGGAAAATGTATGGACCATTCACTCAGTCACCGGCTCCTGACTAATTTTGACGCCCTCATAGCACTATGCTGCACTGTAGCTTAGACACTGGATGAAATGCTATGGGTACGCCCCCTAAGACAACCCTCTACTTCGGCCTATGCAACCGGGTAGTATCACGTCCACTGAAGAAACATGGACAATATTATCGATGTACTCTTGCTGTCCATTGAGTCTACTGACTCTAATGCTCAACCTCCAGGCACAGACTGACCGACATCCCGTTCGGCAAATGTATGTAACCCTATGTCTTCTCTGGTTCATTGCCACAAACGAATCACTGGTCACACTTGACGGAAGTAGCAGCCGAAGTTCTGATGTTTGATGTCTGCATTCTCACACTCCACCGAAGTTCCAGTTTTTGTTCGACCTGGTTCACCATTAGGGCTCGCCGCGCTTAAGGTTCACACTTTTAGGCAAATCGAACGAAGGCATGCCTGGTCTATGTTCTTGAGACGCTGTCGGTAGACATCTGCTGGCTCTCGGAAATCAGATTTCAAGACCAACATCGTCATCAGAGACATTTCCGACGAACCCTGTCGGCTGAGATCGCTCTGCTTGACTGGATCAGTTAACAATCGGCTACGCGCAGTTGGACAACCAGATTCATGTAATGTAGGCAAGCGTGCCTTGGTTGTCCTCTCCGCATACGCCAACAACTATTGATCTTCTGCGACCCAACATAGGCTAAAATTGTCATTCTTGCCGGAGATTTTAACAGACGAGTAGGCCATTTGCCACCAAGCGAGCACCACATTGGGAGTAGTTTTGGCATCGGTACCAGCCGATCAAAAATGGAAACAAACTGCTGGCTATTTGATCTCATGATATGTGTAGGAATTATCTGACGTAACACACCCAAAGCAAATGTCAAACGCCTAAACAGGTGTGCAAAGAACGGGACTTAATGACCCAGCGCGAAGTCGCAATGTTTGCTGCTGTGAGCTCGAAATTAAGTATATATGCTGTTTATCGTATTTCTACCATATGTGAGCCGTGCCCCGCAGGGGACGGCAGTGAAACGCGCCAAATCTTCACCGTGGCTACTGCATGCCTCAAGCTCACACACAGCCACCAGACCAACTATAAAGATGGAAACTTCACTCCTGATCAATGAGTACAATCAAGTCATTTCCCGTGTGAGAGTAGGTGATTCAAATGTGATTCCGATCGAAAATTATCTCGTTCCCCACCAGGTTTAAATTTAGAATGTCGCGTCTCCGGTTCAAAAGGGTGTTGAAAAGCAGCTACTGAAACGGCACGAGTAGTGTGAAAAAGCAGCCATGTTCATATATAAACCCGCGAGCATTAGGTCACTGGGGTAGCTGCCAAAATAGCAGTTCAATGCAAGTTCGAATAATTCGTAGGCCGATGAGTCTCAAGTGATGGACATTAATTTGTTGCAAACGAAACCAGCGTTCCACCAGAAGATTACTCATTAAATTTGCTCTTCAGTTGAAATAGCTTGAAGATATGACTTCCTCCAGAACACGTTATAATAAATATGGCATACAAGAGAATCAATGACTTAACCAATAAGCGTAATATCACACGCAATGTATAGCCGCAGCTTCAAACAAACGCTCGATATTGAAGAAAACCGACGTCCAAATTGTGTAACGGTAGTCTGTACGTTGAATATGCGGGGTACATACAGTTTTATTCAATAGCGCTAGTATGGGGGAATGTGTCCAGGCGAATCGCGAACGTGCCCAAAATCGGTCGGCGGCCGGTTATGGGTTGAACACACAATCAAGAAAAAGCAGATGTTGGATGATAATCATATAATGCCAGTAATGAGTTGGAGCTAGACTAGTGTGCCTTTTTATTCTTGCCAAAAAGGCGGGCGACAGCTAACAATCGTAGGTGTGGGAACATGTATTCAGCGCACTTTATGTTGCTGAACGGGGCTGTCAAGCAAACTGTGAGCAATTACGTGTCATCCTATAGGAACAACGAAGAGGAAAAAATAGACATGATACGCTCGGTTCAGAGTAAACAGCATGCACTTGTGTCAAGAGCAGCAGCAGCAGCATAGCTGAGTTCAGGCGAATAGGCGAACCGAAGTGGTACAGCATTGCAGTGAACCAGACTGGTATTATAGAAATGTAATGGGAAGTCCGGAGAACTGTCATACAATGTGCTTGTGAACGGGTTGTACAAGTATAAAGTAAGGTCAAGGCGGTTTATTTTTTTAGCCATACTAGCAGAGGTAAGGCAAACGTTGGAAGACCAAAACCGATGGCGGTGGATATGCTGCTGTGCGCAACACCACGGCTCATCGGACATAGTTATTTCACACAGATATGGTAGGTCAGATCGAGTAAAATAGGTTTGCACTAGAGGAAGAATGTAATGTTGCTGTGACCATTCAACGTGAACCGCACAATAGAATGAACGGTAAGCAGCTTGAAATCAGGACAAAAAACCTTTTAAGATGCCGTCAGCACAAGCTAAAGCACATTCAGAAGGGTCATGGTATTCAAAAGTGGTCCCAGTAAATTGGTTTCCCACAGACACCTGACTGCTGTGCCGTTGTACCGTCAGAACACGTGATGCTGATCACACAGAGATTGTACTGGGGAAGTAAACACAAAACCGGACAAAGTACCCCGGGTGAGATGGCCGCCACTGTGAATAGCACAAAACATCATCAGTGACAGTTGAAACTTGTGATTTCATGGGAAGTAAGGTTTGTGAGCCAAGCGACGACAACAACAAGGTTCTGTTATACAGAACAAAAGATTAATGGGTTTTGGTGAAACCATGCCGACTCTGTGCATGCCCACCAATAGTCAAATGCACACTCGACTAGGAATATGATGTTGATTCGCTTTTGTTGCGCAGTAAAAAGTTCAAACACAGTTCTGTGGTGTCATCGCTCCTCAATTTTCAAAACCTAGGATTTTACTCGGGTTATGTTGGCCTAAACCCTAACAAGAGCCCAGTGTACTGAGTGTGAAAGTGAATAGCAGCAATCATCGGGGATAGAGAGACAATCCCACATAGTGTTCAAAAGGAGGGGCTCGTGAAACCTGACTTGCTAAAGTACGAGCCGTCCAAGGCCAAATTTAATGAAATTAGGCTCCCGAAATAAGTGGACAAGGGGAACGGGAAGAACTCACATCCTGGGTGACTGCGTGCGTCAGACCGCTGTATGCCACGTTCGCATTGAACCGCTGCACGCACTCCCAAAACGAGACGCCTTCTAGAATGTCGGAAAGAGGTAAGAAGAGAAGAGTGGATTGCACTCAAAGATGAAATGTGGAGCAGATCAAGAGAGTCTTAGTGTTCATTCAGCATTAATCCGCGTGCTCCAAATGACCTTACTGCAATAGTACAGTCTTACGCGTAGATCAGATAACGATACCAAAGTATCTCAGTACTTTACTACATTAATAGAAGAGAATGATTAGTATGCAATGAAACAAGATTTTATTGAGCACTAGGACAAATCATCGCCTCATAAATCACAACTTGATAGTCATTAGAAATATGGAGCAAACTGCTGAAGAAGCGATGTTTGAATTATCAAACACGAAAACAGTTATACGTGGGTCACAACGTGGGCTATTCACAGTCAGCATGAAAACGATATCTATCAGGTTGAGTATGCTCCCTTTCACTGAACCCAGAAGCAAGGAAGTTAAGAGATCCGATAAATTCGGAGGATGTTTACCTGGTTGCTGTCTCAGGAACCGTAAATGCACAGACTCAACCTCTTCGGAGGCGGGCACTATGGTGGGACAAAACCGGAAAGCTCGGTTGAGCGCGCAACTTCGAACACACACGTCCCGATTGCCACTGGCACGGACACTATCTAGTAGAGAGGCCAGCAGAGCATCTCTAAAATGGAGTAGAGCGATGCAGAAATTGTACAACTGGTCTCGGGTACACTAGATGCATCGTATAACACAAAGGTATGATACAACAAGGGAATACGGATGCACAGTAGATAAACACAAGTGAAAAGAGATGCCAAGGTATAACGACGCAAAAGACAGTGTATAGAGAAGGCAACAATGTCTCAATGTGGAAAGCAGAGACTAGTGCTGTCTCAGAAGCCAAATGAGATTACGCAAGGTGAGGAATGAGGTGTTTATTTTCAGTCGAACAAGGGTCGGTCAAGATGACTTCTACTGTATCCGTGTATAAAAAGAATATGGTCACAGAACTTTTAAGTGCCATTGAGGAGCTTCGACGAGATCGGAAGTGCAATTAGGCACACAAGGGCACTGAGATGCTTCGGACCACAATTCAAGCACAAAAAAACTTGGATACCGCGGAAGATACCTGAATGTTCTGGATGCAATTCAACGATAATGCCTCATTGAATCTAAGGAACGCACACATCCGCATTCGTTACCATAACAGGTCAGGTCACAAGTAGCGGCGGAGGTTCACGAAGAAAAACTGGATGGGTCCAACAACGTGTCACAACAAATGAAAAAGCGAGAAAAACAAAATGCACAGATCGTTGCAGTGAAAAAGTAAGGTGGGCAGGATTGTGTAAAAGTGTGCAACTGAGGTAGAACAAAGGGATGAATCGATGCAGCCTAAATGATAGTTGCGGATTCAGTAAACATTTCAGGCTTCGTAGCTAACTCGCCGCTCAGTTCCGTCTTGTTGTGCTCAGGAATTAAAAAAATAGGTCGTTCATTACCTGTCAGTAGAGCAGTACGTTTTCATATCCGAACGGACCAATTCCACAGAGAATTGCTGCGGCTGACCCCGATCACGAACGAGGGCGTAGATCTTGAATAGATGAAAGAGGATGAACATCGTTCGAAAAGGTTTTCGATGAGAATGCACTGGAGCGCAAAAACTGCAGCATGACACATGAATGAGTAAGCTTCGCATGCAGCCAACGGATAGTTCCAGATGACATGGGGGAACCAAAACGAGGTAGGCGCAGACTTAATCCGTGCTAGCATGGAACATTAGTCTCGCACATATCTATAATTGATATATACTCTTACCACAGATTTGACGATACATGCATATTTTTGAGATTGAATAGTTGGTAATTACTATGTGTGAAGAAACTGCTTCAGCGAACGTAAAGGGAACGTTTATATTCCCGAAGGATGAATTGAGTACAATTAGTAAACGTTGCAGAGTAGAAGCGGGGACATTTAGGTTTTTACCCTGAAAACCAAGCAACCAACCAAGCACTTTACATAGCTCTCAGTCCAACTTCAAAACGAGGGTTCAAGGTTGGTATGTCCCATGAGACTCTTAGAGAAGAAACAGGCTACTTTCGGCTTACTTCGGATGGGGACGGGTTGTAGTTATCCGAAAATGCAGATCGACCGACAGATAGATCGAAGAACGTTAAAATCGGTGTAGATGAAGTCAGGACACGACAGTAGTAAGATATGGGCCTCTGTGCATGGTTCCGAAGGCGGTGGCTTGATTGGAAGCGAGTGCCGCAGTGCCACAGGAAGCTGCACCAGCGTCGTTATAGCTCTCATATCGATCATGTCTGTCGACTTGGTAAGTGCAGACTTAACGTTGTGACAAAGTTGTAGTGTTGAAACCTGTGGCGAAATGACTTGCCTGGACATCAAGATGATCCGCGTAGACGAATACAGGTACTCCCACAATGTTTCACTCATGAAGTGGAGCCGATACGTAGCGTGTTGTATTCATCATCGCATTTGCGTACATACCAACTCAATTGGGAAAAGATTTCAATACATCCCATAAGTCATCGAGAAGCACTTTCCAATCAGTGACCGCCTTGAGGCACGGCAAGAGAGAGGGGCCTAGTGCCAATGCTTTCGGAAGGAAGTAGCTCTTCCGAGCTACTGAAGTGAAGGCCACCAAACACAAGAGCCTCAAGATCCCAGATCGTGGGAGATTAAATCTTAGTAAAACCAATCAGCAATTTACTCTTCGTTTGTATCATTGATTCTGCTAGTCTACCTGTGCTTGTGGTGTAATGTAAGCAAGACACAGAACGAGGCGTCTATCAAAACGGAGTTTCTTCACAGGACGGTTTACAGTTGCTTTCTAGAAGGACTTATACAATATATTGTACGACAAGCCGAAACAACACAAAGGAAGTCGAAAAGCGCTGGTTAGATGGCAATGAACCTGCCGCAAGCAAGACGGTGTGGTCGGAACTGCGAACACAGCGAACATGTGCAATCCCCTATCTGGCGTCACGGTAGGAGCCTGACAGTACACATGCCAATTTTAGACACCTTCTGGGACCGAGTTATCGAGTGCTGATGTTAGACTGTAAAAACTACTGAATAACCACGACTTATCCGATTCGAAGAGGGGTGAAAGTAGCACTGGCCTTATTGATGTATTATTTACAATCACTATTTACAATCAAGATCCGCTCCAATCACGAGCTCATAACGAATGAATAATATTATATTTAACATTATATTATGCTTTTTGAAATTTTGTAGTGCTATTTTTGGTAGCTTATCCTTTTTGTATTGCGGCACATTAGCTGAGGCGTTTCTCAGCCTCAGCTAACGTATGCTGATGATGATGATCATGATGACGATGATCATGATGGATGATGACGATGACGACGATGATGAGGATGATAACTGATTACTGGTTGGAAGCGGCGAGTAGAGCTTGCTCTGTGTAGCTGCATCGGTCTTCACTCATGGACAAATACCCATTATGTTGTGTTCCTCTCAATATATTTTGCGTCGGCAAAGTGTTTATCAAGGAACTTCTTAAATTCCGACACTGACTTTGCCTCTACTAAGTGCTGCGGCAGGTCGTTCCATACATTCACCACTCTGCGTTCGAAACAGACTTGGTGAGCGATCCGCTTCAAATCCAGTACGACAAGCTTATGCCGGTGACCTCGTGTGCTGCTTGGATTGCGCAAATGAAGCAGTGGTCTAAACATAGGTTAATCACCCAGACGTAATATCTGGTGAGTCATGATGAGGTCAACCCTCAGTCGACGATAAGCTAGGGTGTACAGCCCTAGTTTCTTACACCGGTCTTCGTACGGCACACCTCGTAAGATGAGAATCAGTCTGGTGGTTACATGCTGTACTCGCTCAAGCTTTTCTACCTCGCGCCGGGTGATAGGACAATAAGCGGGAGAGTCATACTCTAGCACTGGTCGTATTATTGAGACGAAGAGGCGAAAGGCAATCTCTTCGGACCAAGTGCTGAAGCTGCGCCTGAGCGCCCAAAGCATACGAAGGCTGTTTTGGTAAATCCTATTCGTATTGTCCATGGACTTTGGGTCGCAGCGTGAGAGTACACCTAGGTCGCGCACAAAAGGCGCGGGATGCAGCGGTTGACCAGCCACTGTGTAGGTTCGAATGTGTTCGCATTTACCCAACCTCATGAATTGTGACTTGACCGGGCTGATCAGAAGGTTGACGTCTGCAGACCACATGGAGAGGCGGTCGAGGTCCTGCTGAAGCAAATCACAATCATTGGGTGTGCGGATTACTCTCCACACCTTCAAGTAATCTGCGAACAACGCACAAGGTGATTGGAGTAGCTGAGGCACATCGTTTACATGGATCAGAAACAAAATCGGCCCCAGTACAGTGCCTTGGGGCACGCCGCTGCTCGATGGATAAAAGTCGGTTAAATGGTTGTCAACCTGGACCTGGATGATGATGATGATGTGTGTCTCAACATGTCCCGTAGGCTAGTGTTTAATGCTCCCATGGTGGAAAATTAAAAAATGCTCTCCAAAGTGAACTCTACAAAGCCACGACCATGCACTTTGACCGGAATGTGGTCAAACTGGAGGCTTGAATTTCGGTGGAGAATGGTGGGGGACATCCACCAAACGGATAGTGGAATGTACTCAGTTCATCGGTTGTTTCAAATCTCAGTGAGGAGGTAACGGTTTTTGATTTGAAAACCAGAGTTGGCCGGAAGCAGGAGACAATGAATAGTCAGTGTGTGTGTGTGTGTGTGTGTGTGTGTAGCAACTCACCTCGCACAAAGGATACGCACAAACAGCGCGGTAACTGAGCGGATCGCGTTCCAGAAGGAATGTATCAGTGATGCATAGCAAACGGGATACGTACACAACCTTGGAGGCCAAGCGGTGGACAACTTTCTGAACGGTGAATTCTGACTGAGAGGTAAATTCATCCTCGCTGCACGGGTGGATAGTGTGATGGGGTAATGTGAAAAACGGTTAAAATGCATCACACATTGGGCAAAGTTTCGAACCACGTAGCAAGAGATAACGCGTAAGGTGCGGTTGTCATTTAAATGTGCTCCATTATAATAGAGTAATTAAAGGACATTAGTGAATGCAGTTAGGAGATACACCGAAACCAATTGTGGCTTGAATCGTCGGAACACTGATGATCAGTAACAATGGGTGAAAGTATACAGGCGAATATTTAAGTGAAAAAAGAAAAAAGTAAGTTGGGTTGGAAGATTGGCATGGCGTGAAAACCGAAGATAAGGGGACTACTGCCATTTGGACAGTGTCAGCTCGCAGCCACTAGCGAACAGGGTGGGCGATCCCAAAGTCTTCAGCCCAAGGAGACGGATTGCAGTGGCTAAATCGGCGATGAATGGTGATTCGTTAAGATTTCATCGACTAAAAGCAGCCTTAATTTTATGATGACAACAACGAGCCGTTTCTATGTGTGGACTTGTTTCAGCACACAATAAATTGTAAATAATTAGGTAAAGCACTCTCAGTCGAAGCGAGGCGGAATGTACGATGACAGTGATATGAGATTTTTGTCTTGATAGAAACCGAGAATAAATTGACAAATTTCGGTCTAAATACACCTCTTTAATGCACTTTGCGGTGTTGAACATGGCAGCTAACGATACTACCGCAGATGAATTCTTACAGGAAAGATAAGGAGAGGCGGATTGTGCAGCCTGTCAGTGCCAACTCAAACTAGATCTCTTCACAAACAAGAAAAAAGAAGCTAGCATACGAAGGAAGGCGAAAAGACATTAGCATTACCCCGATACGCTGTAATGTAACCACCACCGGTACTGCATGGGCTAAGGACACTGCGACGTTCGCCCGGTCACCTACGCAGACTCGAACCGGTGACTTCGGGATGCAAGCCAGACGCGTTGTGCTTATGGTCACCTGCAGGCAAATCAGGAATGTACTTTGATATCAGGCCTACTGGATTAGTCCTCGAAATGTTCAAGAATAGGTAAAGCCGATGAGTATGGCAACGATCGGGTTTCCCAAAATTATCAGATTTCTAAACAATAAAATGAGAAGACGGATATTGCAATATGATATCATTTCGTGCTCTCTGTTCACATGCAAACGAGCAACATAGTAAACGAGCACTGAGGGGAAGAATCCAGAATTTGAATGCTGACAGAAAGAAGGAGTATGCACCGAACGTCAAAGGCTACAACAGCATTGGAATTGATGAAACAAGTATCATGGTCCCCACGGAAGCCTCAGTGTGACAGTCAACTGCTTTTGTACACAGAGGTCAGGGCGATTGCGATGGATGGCCTCAGCCTCGACGAACTTGAGTCTTTTGGCATTTATATTGCGGCGAGTAACCGCAAACGACAAGTCTGGGTTAACTTAATGGTCTTTGCTCAGTAAGTGCTTAGCGATCGATGAGGTCGGCATTTTAAAGCTTAACGCTTGTCCTTGTGTTTGACCTCTCGTAACGGCAGCAGCCCACTTCGGAGTGTGTTCTCCGACCGCGTACGCAGAAACCGATCCGTTCTGCTGATGTAACTGCTCCGCAGCTACAGACAAAGTGATAAACGCAATGTGTTGTGGTGGAGATCGGTTGGGTAAGCTTGACCGGAGGCGGTGGTAACTTACTGGTTTCCCAACGGGGACCAGTTTGGCAGCACTGATTGTCCGTCGAATTACTTTGGCTACACGTCGCTCGACTTTCTTTGCCACGACATCCCCTTTGAATGGCAATTAGAGATAGGCGAGCATTGCTGACACGGTAAGCGGCTTCTCTACCATCTGGCGTCCGTGGAAGGTGATGAAGGCTGCAGGGTAGCCATTTGCCTACAGCGTCTGTGTAATAGATTGCAATTCAGACTCCAAACATTCGGGCTGCATATGTTACCAGCTCTTTTGAACAGGGTTTCGACAAGGCAGCGTTTATAATGGACGGGTGTGAAGCTACTGAAATGCTCTTACAGTCCTGTCCAAGTGGCTTTTCGGTAGACAGATCGCTGTATCGAGCCATCAGTTATTCTTGTCAATAACACATGCAAAAAGACAAGACAGTTGTTATTCTCTAGTTCAAATGTAAACCGAGCATTTGCGTGTGCTTTGTTCATCGCACTGAGAAGGGATTTGGCGGCATTGATGTTTGGAGCGATCACCAGCTTGCGGTCAACGTAGCGCTTGTACAGGCACATCTAGTCAAGGTGTAGTTCACAACGTGATTCGACCAATGCAATGACGATGTCTGCTGGCGTAGGGCCGAGTGGACTTCCCACATAAACGCCGTCCACTTGCCGGTAGGACTCACCTTCGAACAAGAAGTGAACATTCTCGGTGCATAACAAAATTAAATCGTCCAGGTATTCCACGGGTATCGCTAACGCAACTTTCAGTTTTATCACAAAATCACGTAAGTACTGCACCGTCTCCTTTAACGAGGCGTTGGAAAACAGTGATTGAACATCAAGAGAACAATGTCCGCGAAAAAGTAAGAATTGCTGGAAAATCCACTAGTTTATTGATTATTCGATTATTAACGATTATCGCATCAATTTCGAAAGTTCTGGAATCTGCTGTTCTGTACGTGATTACCAACTACCTGACATCTCGGCCAGAGCTATGGGGAACAGCTAACCTTGGTAGTTGACCTTCCAATTTCAAAAGTCAAAGGTCAGTAAGAGACCTATAAATACAGGCAAGGTCCGCGGTAGTTGCACAGTGTTCGTTGACAGTGGTTAATACGTGATTTGTCAAGGTCATTGGTGTTCTGCTTTTTCCTTCGGTTGGGCTAGAAGTTTTGTGGAGCAGAAAAGTGCCTATTTCGGAATCGCGTCTAGGGAGATTATAATAAATGGCAACGGAGAAAATTGGAAATGTGATGAATTTTTCTGCTGATCAATTTCAAAAGCTGCTTTTCCAACAGCAATCATAAATGGAGGCGCAAATGAAAATGATCGAAAATTTGACACAATGCTTGAGTTTGCAGACAACAGGAGCAGCGACGCGGGACATGTAGGCGAGTTCTGTTGATCTTCTCACGAATTCAACCACTGAATTCAATTATGACGCTGATTCTGGATTCACATTTGAAGTGTGGTTGAAGCGCCGGGAAGACATGCTCCGGACGGACTTCATTCGTCAGGACGACTTCTGGAAAGTGCGATTGCTACTCCGCAAGCTCGGAACAAGTGAACATTTAAGGTCCATAAACCACATTCTGCCCAAACAGCCAGAGGATCTGACGTTTGACGAAGTAGTGTCGCAGCTGAAGGAAATTTTCGATCAGTGAGTATCTTTGTTTATTATTCGCTATCAGTGCCTGAAAATTGTCAAACGGGAATCGGACGACTTTGGCGTTTTAGTAGAAATGATTAACCGTGAGTGTGAGCGTTTCAAACTACGCTCTTTGACGGAGGATCAGTTTAAGTGTCGCATTTTCGTCAGCGCTCTACAATCCCCCAGTGATGCTGAGATCCGCGCACGGCTTTAAGCTAAGCTGGATAAGGATCTTGATCCGACAATGAAGACTCTGGTAGGCGAATGCAAACGGCTGCACTCTCTAAAACACGACAGTGCCCTGATCAAAGGTAATAGTCCAGCACCAAAAGATACCGTGCAGTTAGTGAAAAAGGCCAAGTCTGTCAACCCAAGCAAACCCTTGAAGAGGTCTACAAACAAACCACCCACAGCATATTCGTCATGCAGCGAATGCCATTTCGTGCGTTGAAACATCATATTTGTCAAATGTGCCATAAGCGTGGGCAAAAAAAGGAATTCTGCAGTCAGGTCTGGCCGAAGCATGTAAAGAAGTCTTATGGAAAGGGGAATGCGAGAAAGGATGGCGCAGTCTCTGTCCATAGTTGCCGTATTCCAAAGTGAGTGTAAACCGAGACGAGGATTTATCAGCGTATTGATCAATGGGATCCCAACGAAACTGCAAGTTGACGCGGCCTCGGACATCACGATTATTTCTAGGAACACATGGAATCACATAAAGAGGCCAAACATGGTCGAGTTTCAGAATGTTGCACATAATGCATCGGGAGGTGTGTTAAACTTAATGGGCGAACTTGCTTTCAAAGGTATGGAAGAGTGGGGAAGGTGCTACATTTCAGACTGGTCGAATTTGAATCTTATTGGCCTCGATTGGATTGAAAAGTTGCAACTCCGCGATGTTCCTTTGAATCAGATCTGCAACCGAGTTCGAGCAAGTACAGACCCATCATCAAAGTCCGTCGAAGACATGACACGTACGCTAAGGCAAAAATTTGTCTGTCTTTCAGGATGGCTTGGGTCATTGTACAATATTCAAAGACACGCTGAGCTTGCGACTAGGTGCTGAACCAGTGTTCAAGGCTAAAAGACCGGTACCATATGCAGCCATGTCAACCGTTGATCAAGAAATCGATCGACTAGAACGAGCCAGTCATTACAGCTGTCAACTACTTATCATGGGCCGCACCTACTGTCGCAACGAAGAAGGCAAATGGCAAGGTACGCGTCTGCGCTGACTTCTCAACTGGCCTTAACGCCGTGCTGGACGACCACCAGTACCCGTGCCGGAAGATATCTTTGTAAAACTGAATGCTGGTAAGTGCTTTGCTAAGCTTGATCTGTCCGATGGCTACCTTCAAGTGGATGTTGACGAAGTCTCGAGGGAATTGTCGACGATCAACACTCATCGTGGTTATTCCAATACAACCGCTTTCCCTTTGGTGTAAAAACGGTGCCAGCCATTTTCCAACAGTTGATGAATACCATGATAGTGGGCGTTTCTGGAGCCGCTGCATATATGGATGATATCATAGTGGTGGGTCGAACATCGGAAGAGCTATTTGACCGTCTGGATGAAGTGCTTAGTTGTATACGGTCGTACGGTTTCCGGATCCCAGAGGATAAATGCACATTTTCACGTCGATCATCAAATATCTCGATTTTATCCTTGAAAAGGATGGACGT